TTTTTTTTTTTGAATAGCTGATCTTGCTGAAGTTGTGAAGCGACGGTCAGAGTGGTGTGATCTGAAGGATGCTGTTGCTGTGATAGACAGAGATGCAGGTATACTGTAGAATGTGTCTGTGCCACTGAATTCAGCCAGCGTCTGAAATAGATAGGGCTCTGCGGCATCTCTTTTATGACATTCTTAAACTGAAACCGATAATTCTGTAAACTCACGGACTGAAAACCCTATGGGCATTAGCCTACGGCACAGTGATCATCTGGATAATGTGCTCAACCCGAAACCGAAAATTCTGGAAACACTCGGACTGAAAACCCTATGGGCATTACGGCACAGTCATCATCTGGATAATGTGCTCAAACCGAAACCGAAAATCCAGGAAACACATGGGCGAGAACCGATATATTTTTATTATTACTTTTTTTTTAGTTTAGTTTAGTTTTTTTTTCTTTGTTCTGTTTTTTAGACCTCTTTTAAATATCTTCTAAATATAACACTTTGTGAGTGATTGTTCCAGTGGCATTACTGTATAGCCTAGCCTACATATTGCACTTCATGCTAATAAGTACATCTTCACCCTACAAAGTGTTTATAATGCAAAAGTACGGTACTTTATAACAACAACCATGTACATGTAATACAGCGACATTTACAGTATGCATGCTTTTGTATGATCCTCACATTCTCAGCGATCAAGACCATACTTAATGTAGGATGGATGTGCACTACAGCTTAAAAGATGTGCATTTCTGCCTGTATTCGAATTATAATCACAAAGCGTTTATTAATCATTCAGATAGGGTATAATTGTGCGTTAAAACAGTTTTTTCCGCGTGATGGGCGGGAGGCCCCATATAAGGCAGTTGTTCTAAATGTAGATTGTGACATTATAAAGCTATATAAAGGTGAAACACTCTGCAACGCTCGTTTTGCTCATTCTGCTGCTAAATCACGATAGCGATGGGTCAACGTAGTTCTCGTTGCAAAGAGGCAGAAAAAAAATGTGGGCGTGTGTACAATTTCCATCATGGTACAGTGCCACATTCTTTCACTGGTTTGGTGGAAGGCCACCCACATCCAGTTTGTGATGTGGGTGAGAAAAAGAAGAAAGGGAGGACACCTCTAAAAAGACCAAGAGGTTCAGGTTGTGGAGGTGGACCTCTTATTGGAGAGCTGGTCAAAAATACAGCAGGAAGACTAGCTCAGCTCAGGGTAAGGATGAGGCTCGGGTACTGACGCTGCGGCAGTACCATCTAGAAGAAGTCCTGATGGTAAACGACATGTTTTATGAATATGTACAAGTATCCAACAAGTTAAAGAATAATTAACATCTTAGATGCAGTAATATGAGTATCCACTATGTAATATATATATATATATATTCACCTCACCTCTTACCTGACAAGTCTTCGGGTTTGGGCTTATTTTGGGTCTGTCACGTGATGAATGAACGACTCAAACCCGAAGACTCGAGAGATGAACTAATCAA